GGATATCCCCGCCACTTCACAAGATATTGGGTTTGACCCTGGTGACGACGTCGTCTCATTAGACGTTCAACGTGATAGTGGACGTCACCGTTCTCATCGAGAAGAGTCGGTAGTGGGCGGTGGCGACCGGGTCGACCGCCGTCCGCTGACTCGTGATGCTCTTCGAGCCCTTGAGGACGAGGTCCGTCGTGATCGGAGCTCCGGTGAGCATCATGCTGAAGAAGCATAACGCTGTGCGAATGCTCTTGACGATTTAAAGCCCGTCGTGCGCCGGCTACCTCGCGTTGAGGACTACCGCACTCTGTCGGAGCGACTCCTAGCCATGGAGCAGGCGAATGCGTCCCTACATGCGACGGTAAAGCGCTTGGCACCATCAGAAATGGAGGTTGTAGCACTCCGTGCTCAGAACCAGTTGCTGGTTCAGCTTCTGGGTGGCCGCGGGCCCGTGAGATCCGCTCCGGCGCCAACGCTTCCACGTTCACTGGCGCCGGATCCCGGTACGGCTTGAGCAATCCCACGTAAAACACCGGGTGGGTGCGCATCCATTTCGGGAGGTTCAGCGTGTACGCCAGGCCTCGTTTGGCCACAACCATAAACGGTTCGATAAACCGTGGACGAGCTTCGTTCTGAAGATAGCAGAGGCTGCATGTGTAGGCAGGTTTTTTGAATTTATTAAGACCAGGTCCCCGATCTTAAAGCTTTCCACTTCGCCTCTTCCAATTTCATCTGCACATTGTTTCTGCAGGTCTTGGCTTTCAGCCATCACATCGCGAACGTGTCCTAGGACACTCAGTCTGGTAGAGAAGAAGTCATCGACTTCCTTACGGATGGTGAGGCGGCTGACATCAGCTAGCCGTTCGGCTATTCCTCTTCCACCAAGCTCTGAGCCATAGGATGGCGGCGTCAGCGAGACGCGAGGGTGAATCAGCCCGTTCACGTAGAACGGCGTGAAGCCGGTAGACGAATGCACTGCATTGTTCAGTGCAAACTCTCGGAGTGGCAACATGGTGGTCCAGTGCCTCGGCGTCTCAGCGCAGCCGCTGTGAAGAATGTCTTCGATGACGCGTATCACCCTTTCGGTTTGACCATCGGTCTGATCCGCTGTCGACATATCCAACTTGGTGCCTACACCGTGAAGATAGTCGACCAACATTTTCCCGTGAAGCGGGGGTCTCTTTCAGAGACAAACGACTCTTGGAGTCCGTGTTGGCGAAAAACACGATTTACAAACAGCGTTGCTGCACCGATTCCGTCAATCGTGTCTAGA